AGAAGCCAAAACACTAAACGTACTGAAAGGTGAAGAGATGAGTAAGACGAAGAGCTCCGAGCACTGATACCACAGATACTAATCCAACTTAGCGTAAATGGGACGTGGTGGAATGACCAACCACAGTTGACAGTATAAGATGGACATAGCCACTATGATGTCACTCATGGATTTTGGGCTCCATATCTTAAACCTGGTCTAGAGCAGGGGTGTCAAACTCATTTCACATCATGGGCCACATACAGCCCACTTCTTAAGTGGGTCGGACCAGTGAAAATCCCCTTTCTGTAAGTGTAACTACACACATTCGATATAAGAAAAAGAAGTGCGATGTCAATAGCACAGCTCTTTTTTTCTACATGATAAAGAAATGCTGCTGTGGTTAACGAAGATTTGTAAAATTAGAGAAAAGGTCCTGGTAGATCATTTTCCAGATTCTCCTATAATTACAAAACTGATTTATTCACAGATATGTTTATGTGGACCCTTTTAAAAAAAATAAAAAATTAAAAAATTTTAAAAAACCAGACATTTCTATAGTCAATAGTCAAAAAAGGAACTTTTCGGTCATTTAAATGTTTATCTATTACTTAATTACTTTGCTGTAGTATTAACGGCCGTGGGTGACATGTTTATCGGTAGGAAAAGCTGTAAAACGTATGAAAATGCAGTAAAAACTTCAAAATCTATGCTCTACTTGACATTTTCTAAAGCTGTCCAGTGGGGCAGATTGAAGTCCTTACTGGCCCCCAGGTCTTATGTTTGACACCACTGGTCGAGAGGTTGTAAGATACCAGCAAGATGAATTCAACAACTTTGACAGTATAGAAGACAGACACGGATTCCACATCACAACAGTGAAGCCAACACTGAAGTGCTTTGATAAATGCTTAGCCAATGAGCACGCGGTTTCACAGCCAGATCCTCGTCACATCCAAGTGAAACTGAAGCACAAATTTATTTACAAAATGCACCAACACCATAAACTTGGCGGAGGTCCAGTTGATGCATGGGTAAAGCTTCTTACTAAAGATGCAAGCAGACAGCTGCCACTGTTGGCACACCTGTCAAAGTCAGTCACATCGCCAGCTTTAACGCTTGCGATTATCAAAAGTGATAAGTCCTGAAAAAAAAAGAAAAGAATTCAAATTTAACCATAACCTGTAGGTCCTCAAGAATCCCTAAAAATGTTGAACATGCCAAACGTTTCAAATAATGAAGTCAGAGTATCCCTGTGAATGAAAAAGTCTCAAGAAGGCTTCAGAATGCCCTAAGCACTTGTTATTTTCTACTTTTAACGCTGTATTGCACCACAGCGAGAAACATCTCTCAGGTACACAACTCTGTGTGAATACAGAGCTCCACCCCTCTTGTCAAACCTTGTGTTTGTGAAGGGCAGCCAATCAGAAGAAAGGCTCTGACCCTAAAAGTATACGTGCTGAAATGGCTCGTTTTAAACAGAGGATAAACTGAGATTTAGCACCCAGACCCAGATAGGATAAATAGAGATTTTTTTTATTTTTTTAAACTGTAAATCAAGTAAAGCCACTCCAGTAGAAGAATAAAAAATGAGCCCATCTATGTTTTGGTTATAATACTAGGGACTTGTTACAGCATGTGTGCACAAAGTCCAAAGTTCTAGCATTTATAAAAGAGCCATTCCCAAACTGCTGCCAAGAAAGCATGAAAGCAATATACTATGGAATGTTCGTTTTTAAATTCCACAAACTATTTCCTTCTGGGAAGCAGACTCGACCCAGGAACTACAGTTCACACCAAAAAAAAAGTAATTAATGTCTACACCAAGTTGTAAACCTTCAGGGTTAAAAAAAAAATGAAACCAGCAGAGAAGTTGCTCTAATTTTCTAACTTCAGTCACAACAATAAGTTTAAAGCCTGGCACAAAAGATGATTTGGGGGGTTGTAGTTACTCCTTCATATCACTGTACAGCTGTATCATTTTAAGGCTTAAAGTTAAAGGCATGGCTGTGATAGACAGGTGCCCTGTAGCACTTAGCTGGGTATCTGTATCTGTAAGCTGTGGAGTTTAAGCATGCCAAGCAAGCAGCATCTATAAGTGCACTTATAGATCTGGTGTTTAAATGCACTTACACATTTAATCGAACAGTATAATGTACACAAGAGTGACAAATACGCCACGCAATCGTCTTCCCCATGAGAATCCTGCAGATCCAGAGATTTATTCTAAAAACTGTACACAGGCAAGCTGCTCATCATAGCAGGATGGAAAGAAGAAAGTCCCCAACTTTTTCAGTCAATGTCTTACGTCACGAAGATGACAGCCAAGTAATCAGGCTGAATTCTTCACATGGTACAATTTTCTTTTTTATCTTCTTTTGAAACCATCCCTCAAAGACTATTTATAAGCCACTAAGTCAACATGAATGACTGCTGGGACACCCTAAAACCTGTTTACCTCCCTTACAGGGAATACAGTTGTTTTTAATTTCTCAGCTTTTCCTGTTCTGTCAAGTGAAAAATGACTGAAGTGAAAAGCTCTTTTTTTCTGAAGTCTAAAGACGACTCAGGCGTGTCACTCCACGTGTTGATTTGAATAGACCCCAACAGCTGCTTGAGTTTAGTTGCAGCTGTGTGCTAGCTGTCACACAACAAGACTGGAGTGAAGGTGGTTGTCAGAAAGGTGTAGTAGTTTAGTATTAGTCACACGCAACGTTACAAAACAACCACAGCACAGCCAAAGCTTGTCTTAGTTAACCTAACACCACAGGTGAAAACAGTGCTTCACCCTCTGTACTAGCATGTGACGCAGAAGGGCGTGTGAGCCGTGGGTTGCCGACCTCTGATCTAGATAGTAACGGCTGCATGGTTACTATCTAGACGGATTTCTCAAGTCCATTTAACATGATCCATCCACTGCGGCTGAGAGAGAAGCTACAGGAAATGTAAGTAATCATGTCCACCATCTCATGGATTGCATACTACCTGACACACAGTCTGCAGTATCTGAGACTTTATGATTTGTTGAAGTGCCATACTGGAGCTCCACAGGGAATTGTGCTTTTTCACATTGCCTTGTACACCTCAGGCTTTTCAGTAAAACTCAATATACTATGTTATTAATAATGGGAGAGAGTGGGAGCACAGAACACTAGGATATTATTTTGTGGAGTATTCTGGGAGGAATCATCTGCTTCTGAATGTGAATAAAATCACATAGACTACTGAAGGATGAGTACGGCTATACAACTCCTGTCTATCCTGTTGATGTGGTGGAGGAGTACCTGTGCGCCCGGGTTTCCACATCAATAACAAGCTGAACTGGAAGCCCAACACAGAGGCTCTAAACAAGACAGAGAAGAGCAGCAGTGGTGGGTGCCAAAAAAGAAAAAAGAAAAAGACAACATAATATTGCAATATTCCGTGTGGAAATATTGTGTCACTACAGGCACACTAGATATACTTATTTTATTAGAGGGCTAACGTTATTGCTAACTGCAATAACATTAGCCAAGGAAACTTAAATGAACTGAACCGAAAAACTATCCAGCAATCGACTAATTGCAACTCTTGGTGACTAATGGTTGCCCAGAGTTTGAGGACGTTGTGCACTCATGATCACTTGCACAGGTCGCCCGATCGGACGCAACTGTCTGCAAACAGTTGCAGTGTAACTAACTGCAGTTATTCTGACAGATTATTGAAGGTTTATAAACAACTGCCATTTATTTTTCTATTATCAAAAGCAGATTGCATGTAATTACCAAGTAGACCCCATTCAATCGCACACTGATAGCAGACTCTCTCATGCCAACATTTATGACAGGTTTTAGTGACAATGTTCATATGCTTTACAAGCTTATTTTACAGCAAAAATAACTGAAGCGAGATAACTTTATCTTACTGGATTTTGAGGACATAATTTGCTGTGTCTTGTTACTCCCAAATCTAACTAGCTAGTTCTACTTCATCACAAAGCTCAGAGCCTTTAAAGCTGGGGTCCCCAATCCCAGTCCACGAGGGCCGGTGTCCTTGCAGGTTTCAAATCTCACCCTGGGTCAACACACCCGAATCACATGAGTTCATTACCAGGCCTCTGGAGAACTTCAAAACATGTTGAGATGCAGGGAGAGCAGGGAACAGCTGGGGGACAGAGTGTCTCGAGAGTTGGAGACAGATGGAAAGGTGAAGATGCAAGGAGTAGAGGTGGTAAAGGTGGATGAGTTGGTCAACCATCCAAAGCAACAGTCAGTGCATGAGACAGGTGCAGCAGGTGGAGACGATTGCCTGGGGTGATTTTTGAGGAGGATAGCAGTAAGAGTGAAAGGGAAGGATTAGAAGGTGGTAGTGAGACCTGCTGTGATGTGTGGTTTGAAGACTGTGGCACTGACCAAAAAAAAAAGGAAAAAAGACGACGACAAGAGGCCGAGCTGGCACTGACCATGATGGACAAGATTAGAAATTAGTATATCCGACGGACAGCTCGGATTGAGCAGTGTGAAGACAGGGAGACAAAGCTGGGCTGGAGGTCGATGCTAAAGATAGGGTGAGATGAAGGGAAATGATCCGCTGTGGCAACCCCTAAGGCCGAAAGACTATCATTATTACATCATAAGTTCAACTGCTATTTCCAAAATAAAAAAAACAAATAAAACATAGCTGGTTTCTTATTCATTCCCATGGTGCACTGCGTGTCAGTTATGAAAACTTCCCCATATGGTTGGCCAGTCTCGTGAAGTTCATTACTGGATATTGATGCGCTAAATGTGACTCTAACTATGGTTATCGTTTGCTGTAAACGTGTTATTTTCACTCGAAATAAGTCGGGGTTGGTGGCCAGACATGTTCACGTATAAAGGATTTTAAGACTTCGTGAAAACAGAGGGTCAAAATATTCGTGTCCGATGATGGGTGCATTAGCAAGAGCTACACTAGCAAGGCAAGCTAGAGGTGAGAAAGGCGCTAAGAGAAGTAACACTACAGCGGCAGAAAAAGCGCACTTTTGTCCTCGTGTGTCTTACCCTCCTCGCCGGTCCCGTGCACGGAACACCCGGTCAGATATCCGGGTAAAAACCCCAGCTATGGCCGGTGAGTACACGGAGTACACCAGCCTCCTCCAGGACATGGGAGCCGCCATTGCTGCAGCACTGCGAGTTTGAAAAAACTTTATAGACACCCCTCTCAGTTCACATACACAGACGCTTTCTACACTGTGCAGTACACAAGATTGTAGTGACAGCTCAAACCGTGCCAAGCAACTTCAATTCAGTTCAATTCAGTTTTATTTGTATTGCTTCAAAGCACAACAACATTTGCCTGAAGGCGCTTTAAACTGAAAGGTAAAGACCTTACAATAATAAGACCCTACTGTAATAGGTAAGGTGCTTTTCTTTTAATTAAATAAATTAAATATCGCTGGTTTGGGATCTGTTTTTCTGTGATTTTGGGGGTGATTTTAAGTGTCTTTTAATGACCTGCAAATTATTTATGCTCCATTTTTAAATTAACCACCAAGGCACTCTTTAAAAAAGACATATGTGACCACAGAAAAGCTTAAAGATATATTTTTGGTAACACATCTTCCTGTTCAGTTACCTGTTAAAGGTGTGCCTTGAAGATTTTCAGTCATGCAATGCATGACGTGCATTGTTTCAGCCGACTGATAAATGTGTGTGTATGTGTTTATATTTGGAAGGCTCATAGCACGTGAGAATCTTCATTACTGCTGTCTTATAACAACAATACTCGCAGCAGTACGTTTCAGTAGAATGATATGGAGAACAATCAGGACTACTATCTAACTTTACTGCTTTATTGATTTCAAAACACTTTAAATATGAGTTGATATCTTTTATGGCCTTACAGCCTATGTTTGTTCTTGGATTGTTAATGAAAATATTAGCAAGAAAGACCAGTAATCATAGCATTTGTAATTGATTCTCACTATTTTTCAGAGTAAATTTAAACCTTTTTCTCCTCTAAAGTTACAGATTTGGCTCTTAATTTAAAACGAGTCACTCTTTCAACCTTTCATTACATATAGGGCATTTGCATGCTCAAGCAACACTGTAGGCTGTTGCTCAAGAGCATTTGCAGTAAGTCAGATGTTTCCTGACACGTACACGACACAGCGGACTGAGGGACCCCTATCTTTAAACATAAGCCAGTTTGTTGTAGGTCAGATGCTATTTATCCTTCATGCTGTTAAGAAAGAGAAGGGAGAATGCAATGACAGCCCATGTTGATGCTGAATAGCTTGAAAATATCTGACCTTAAGGTAAGGCTTTGTTTATAGAAACTCAGCAGAGAGATTTGTAACAGCACAAGGAAATAGACATAAACCTTGAAAGTAGGTTACTTGATTATTTCAGTGAAACACCTAAAAAAAAATTCTACCTGTGCTTTTTTTCTTAATTTGTGCACATGTGCTTTTGTATTCTGTGTGTGTCCAAACAAACTACAGCAAATTTAATAAATAGTAGAGTAACATTCACTGCGGTACAGTTTTAAAATACTTGAGTCTTTACTCAACCTCAGCAGATTAAATATTGAATAGATACGAGTACTTTAATTCACAGCATTATGACAACTTTTCACCTAGATACAAATTTAGGGGTGCTTTTTTAAAAATAACAAAATAATAATACTTCTCTTACCTATCTGGGATTACTGAGACCTGATATGTATTAAAACTAAGAATAATATTTGCATACATTAAGATATTTTTTTGTTTAAGTCTTTAACATAAGTCTGTGCATTTTCCTGGTAATCCTGGCAATCTTCTGCATCAGTAAAAGTAACCCTGCTAAAAACAAAAAAAAAGTAAATAAGATTTTTATTACAATCCTGCTGATTTTCCTTTAGGGAGAAAGAACTAAATGTCTTCTACGGGTGTGAATATGTTTACATAACCCATATTTTCGGGGGAAATGCTGATTTCTACATAGATCAACACTTGGATGCATTATTTTATATGGAGCTGAGGATTTTTAATGCTTTAACGGCAGATCTGAGTGTTAGATGAATGCAGAAAAAAAGAAGGGTCCTGCAGTGCATGTACAAGCATATTATGGTTAGTTATTATAGCGAGAATATGTGGAGTATGTCTCTAAAACATGAGCCATAGCTGCGGTTTTATATTGTGCCATATGTGGAGCTTTTAACTTTTTCACCTTGTCGAGAAGGGAATCCAGCAGCAGTACCAGGAAACAGCCCGGTAAAGGTCACGCTGATTATTTATTGGCGATCCGCCAAGAGCGGGCGCGAGCCCGCGCGTGTGTTCTTTTGCGTGCGTGAGCGTGCGTTCGTGTGTTTACTGGAAGAACCTCTGAACGGAGGGGGGCGGAGCTTTACGAACATCGGCTTTACTCACTGGAAACAACCTCCAGTAAACCTCCTCCCCTCCCCTCCTCCCCCAACACACACACACGGGGAGTTCTCCGGCAGATACCGCTGCCGACACATTCCTCTGCTCGGTAAGGAAACCCACACGCTCTTTTGGATACTTTTTTATGGATTTTAATGCCTGAGTTAATATTTTTTCAAGCACTACTTTCGGGTAGTTTGCGTATCTTTTCTTTTGGCGACGAGCGGCTGCGGCGCTGGGCTGAGTGTATCCACAAGGTAAGTTAAAACATTTAAAAGCGGTTCGCTGGTCATCGTCTTAAAGTAGGCAAAATGACAGAAAACTGAGGTATGGGGCACTTTAAAGCGCTGTGGTTTTATTTAGCAGCTCGGGCTCTCGCTGAAGACGGTCCTAAAAGTGTTAATGCTCGGGGGGTTCGCAGTATCATCAGTAGTGGACCGAGTTTAACGCCAGTGGCTCCGTAGCAGTTCTGAGTCGCTATGGCGCCTGCACTGTCCGGTGAAGCCGACTTCCAATTCCCGTAGAGCCTGCAGGGTATCTCGGGAAACCAGAACCAGACGGGACACCTTTTCAGTCATCGTGAAACCGGAGAACGGGGCCTCCGAGCAGGAATACAGCTATTTAGCAAAGAGAAAGGGAGGGGGTTAATAGAAGAAAAAAATTGCGCTGGCTGGACTCTTTCACAGTGACCCCGATTCAGAAATCCCTTGTTGCGGTGCGCCCGATCGAAGACAATTGAAAGCAATCAGGATCCAGTTGCTGTCTGGCTGCACGGTGCAGCAGCACGAGTAAGCAGTGCATTCATTTAAACTAAATATAACCTGCCTGCTCGCTGCCCGCTCATGCCATATGCATTTGTTACAGTCGCCATAACTACATTTTTATGGGGGTAAACTGAGAGCTTCAGTGTGGCACAGTGGCCATTTATTTCTCACTGCCTATGCAGGAGTGAAATTCAAATGAGGCTCTATGGCTCTATATTTGCAAGCCAAGATGAGGTTATATATAGCTGGAAGTGCTTAATCTTTGCTCACTGTCTCCCTCCAGCTGTGTATAGGTGCTCTCTACCAGCCCCTCTCTGGATGCATCAGACTCCTCTTCCCCGGGGCCCTGGACCCGGTGTGTGACCCCGCCATCCTCACCCCGCTCCCCCCCTCGTCTCCCCTCTCGCTCTGCTGCCGACTCTCTTCCACCTGTCCAATCCCGCACTCCTTTTCTGGGCCCCCTGCCTCTCGATCAGCAGGGAGAGGCAGGGGGCCATGGCATGGCCATGGTAACCTTTGCAGGACACAACCCCCTTGCCATGAGCAGCGTCACCTCTCCAGAGGGCAGGGTTCAGGGGTCGAACTTTACCCCGCATCATTTCAAGCCCTTCAGCTCGCATGAACACTACCAGCAGGTCAGTCACATCTGAGGAGTTAGCTAAACTATTACGTTTTGTGTGTGTGGTTTCTTTGGCATTCTTGGAAATTCACCATGGCTTTTTTTTTTTTTTTACCCGTTTCAGGTGATGCGTGCACTGCATAAGCTTCAGCAGAGTGGCTTTTACTGGGGAGCTGTCGGAGGCCGGGAAGCCAGCTCCCTGCTACGCTCTCAACCCCCTGGCACTTTCCTGGTCCGTGACTCCTCAGACCACCACCACTTCTTCACACTCTCTGTCCAAACAACTAAGGGAACCAAGAATCTGCGAATCCACAGTGAGGGAGGAGGCTTCTTCCTACAGCCAGACCCCCAAAATACCCAGGAGCTCCCGCAATTTGACTGTGTGCTGAAACTCATAGCGCACTACATGGGGAAGGGGCAAGATACTGAAGGGACCAAGGAACGGGCGAGTGGGGACAATCCAGGAGAGACAAAAACAAAGGCACACAATGTTTATCTGATCCATACCGGTGGGGAGAAAATCCCACTGGAATTGCGTCGACCCCTCTCGACTTGTCTCTCCAGCCTGCAGCACATGTGCAGGAGGACGCTGAACAATCAGGGCTTGGGGGCGTCTGAGCGGACTGAGCAGCTCCCGGACACACTTAGAGACTACCTGGAGGAGTATGATGCTCCTATATGACTGACAGGAACTGCGACAGGTTCTACTGCATGGACCAAGTGCCAGGATTACAGCACGGACCAGCTCTCGGTGAATGCGAGATTGTCTGTGTGGACATAAACTGACCAGACTGAGCCTTAAGTGCTAACATGAGGTCAGTTTTCCAGAATCAGCTGATCACTGATCTACTCTGGGTCACCCGCTGACCTTCTGGGGATGAGGAGTGTGATTTGGGTAACCGACGATTACCTCGTCCGTCCTGCCTTGCAAAAACACAAAAAAACAAAAACACTGACCACTCAAGTGAGTGGCAGATGAAGCCTGAGGTCAAAGGTCAACGTTTCCTATGACTGAGACGCAGAGCAGTGCCTCGTAGAAGATTAACCTGACTGGTCGATATTAACGATGGCAGCGAAAGGCATGATCAATGCACCACCAGTGATATTTTGGTGGGTTTAATGTGCTTCAAAGCTGCTGCTGTCTGCGTGACATTTACAACTGGACAGACAAACGGCAGTGGGTAGAGAGAGTGGGGGGTGGGGGGTTTCAGAGAAAAGGCAAAGTCCAAACGAGGGGGGCCCTGTACAGAGAACGCACAGGATTTGTTTGTCTGAGTGTGAGCGTGAGTGTGTGTGTGAGTGTGTTTGTGTTGTGGTGGTGCACACATTTCCATTGCTGCTTCCCGCAAGTGTTGCCTCATAGAGGGGGAGTGGGACGGTCATGCACTCTAGCTCCACATATGCAAACACACACCCACACCCTCAAACACACGCACAGGTATA